GGGGGATTTTGAGACAGGTTCTCACTGCATAGTTCGGACTGCTCTGGAACCCACTGTGTAGCTCAGGCCGTCCTCCAACTCACAGCGATCCTCCTGCCTCAGCCTCCCGCGTGCGCAGGATGGGATCACAGGTGTGCGCCACCACCACGCCCAGCCTCACCTGGCTAAGATTAAATAGGCGCCAACTACAGCCTGACAGGGTGACCCCACGAGGGGAGGGGACCCTCAGGTAGTGCCCGGGGCACACACAGGAAGCTCCTGTGGTCCTTCAGGAAGCACCACTGTGGAGGTGGGGAACTGTGGCTCTGAGATAGGCTGGACCTCATCCAGGACACCCCGACAGAGGCAAGCACTCCGCCACTGTCACCACTGTTTCGTTCCGGCCACAGTGTTTTTGGAGGCTCAGCAGTGTTTCTGGCCCCAGGCCTGCTCATTGGTGGGAAGGCAAGGGTGTGGCCTGGAGCGCCTGTGCCCCGACTCCTGCAGGCCTTGGCTGAGGCCCTGCTCTGGGTCTTGCTCTCTGAGCCAGGAAAAGGTTGAACAAAGAAAGACCTGAGACCCCTCACCCCAGCCCCCACAGCCCAGACTCCTGAGACCAGAGTTACTCATGCTTGGCAGTACTGACAATGGGGATAAAATGATTCTTCACAGCAGGAGGCGTCCTCACCCTGCAGGATGAGCCTCCACTGCTGTCAATGGCTCTGCCGGCTCCAGGGGTGGGCTCCCCACCCCAGAGGCTCCCCTAGATGGACCCAGGCGCCTTGTATTGCACTGGCTCCTGGAAGCATCACCCATTTCTTCCTTTCTTTCCTTTTCTTTTTCTTTCTTCTTTTATTTTTTTTACTGGGGATCAAACTCAGGACCTTGCACTTGTGAGGCAGGTGGAGGCGCCACTGAGGTAAATCCCTGGCCCTTGTTTTGTTTTGTTTTGTTTTTTTTCAAGACAGGGTCTCTCTATGTAGTTCAGGCTGGCCTTGAACTCACTATATAGAACAGACTGGCCTCAGACTGGCCTAGAATTTATGGCAATCCTCCTGACTCAGCCTTCTGAGTGCTAAGATTACAGGCATAAACCACCACACCAAGCATTGCTGTGTTACCCGAAAGTGCTGTAGGAGCTGTTTAATCCATCCAAGTAGCTATGACAAGACTACCATAAAGTGGATGGCTTATGGTATTTTACAGAAATTTATTACTCACAGTTCTGGAGTCTGAGAAGTCTGAGACCAAGGTGCGGGCAGGTTTGGTGTCTGGTGAGGGCCTGCTTCCTCCTAGATGCTAACTTCTAGTGGTGTCCACACATGGTAGAAAGCGTTGAGCAGCTCTGTAGGGTCTGTTATAGGACCCTAAAGTTATCCGCCATTGTCCACGGTGAACTGATTCCAAGATCTCTGGATGCAGCCAGCCATGGCTCGCGATTGTAATCCCAGCATTTAGGAAGTTGAGGCAGAAGGACTGTGAGATCATGGCCAGCTTGGGTACACAGTAAAACTGTTTCAAAAAAGAAAACAAAATAAAGAAATCAAGAAAAAGAAAAGAAAGCCATGGGTGCTCCAGTCCTTTATAAAAAATGGCATAAGCCAGGCATAGTGATGCACACCTGTAATCCCAGCACTCGGGAGGCTGAGGCAGGAGGATCGCTGTGAGTTCAGGGCCAGCCTGGACTACATAGTGAGTTCAAGTCCAGCTTGAGCCACATAGAGAGACCTTGTCTCAAGAAACCAGAAAATAAAAATAAAATGGCACAGTATTCGCATGTAACCTACAACCATCCTCTTATACACTTCAAATCATCTCTAGATTATATATAATCCCTAATACAATGTAAATAATCATTATGCTGTATTATTCAAGAAATAATGACAAGAAAAAAGTGTACGTGTTCAATACATATTTTTTTTTTCTGAAAAAATGTTTTTTTTTTTTTTAGTGCTGGGGACTGAATCCAAGGCCTTATGCGTATGTGGCAAATGCTTACCACCAAGCTACACCCACAACCTCCTGAATAGTTTAGCTCTGCAATCAGTTAAATCCAGACCTGGTTGAATCTGCAGGCACAGAACAGTCAGGATACCGAGGGCTGACCTCGATCCCATGCCTGAGAACTCCACCCTCACGACACCATCGCCTCTACAGGCCCCATCTTGGCAACTAGGTGTCAATATGTGCATTTGGGGTGGGGGTGGGGACGACACCAGCATCCAGGATGCTGAAGGGAACTCACATGGGGTCAAGGAACATCCTCCCCTGGAGATCAAACAAGCAGGAAAAGGGTGGTGTATTCGTTTCCTGTGCCTGTTGTTCCTGTCTTAAAACAAGAGAAATTTATGGACAGTCCAGGAGCCCCAAATCAGTATCACTGGGCTGAACTCAAGGAGTAAGTAGGAAATTTATGCTCCCTCTGGGGGCCCTAGGGGAAAAGCTGGCTTTGTGCCTGTTGCCTGTTTCATTCCGTAGCTGCCTTCCTCCTCCTCCTCCTGCTCCTCCTCCTCCTCCTCCTCCTCTTCTAGAATCTTCCTCTATGACCACATGGGCTTTCTTGTGTGTGTGTGTGTGTGTGTGTGTGTGTGTGTGTGTGTGTGTTCCCCTCTGACAGAGAGGCTCTGGGAGGAGAAGACAGAAAAGCTTGTCTGAAAGTTTACAGGATCTGGGTGTATACACCTGCATAATCCCAGTACTATGGGAGGCTGAGGCAAGGGCTCCTCAGATTTGAGCCTCATCTGAGTGATTTAGAGATTTAGCAAGACATTGTTTCCAATAAATACATAAACAAACAAAAGCCGGAGATTGAGCTCAGTGGTGCTGCCACCTGCCTTGCAAGCACAAGGTCCCCAGTTCCATCCCTTGTACAAAAATAATAATAGTAATAATGATAATAAAAAATAAAAGGATGGAGATATAGCACAGTGTGAAGACCCTGGGTTCAATCCTGAGGGGGTAGAGAGAAGAAGAGAGAGAGAGCGTGGGCAGGAAGGAAGAAGAAGCCAGGGATGGCTGTGCACACGAGTAATCCCAGCACTTAGAAGGCTGAGGCAGGAGGGTCACGAGTTCAGGAGGCAGCCTGAGCAACAGACTTTGATTCAAAGTAAAAGATAAAAAAGGGCTGGGGATATAGCTCAGTGTGAGGCCCTAGACTCGGCGTCCAGCATGGCAAAAATAAAATGGTATCAAGAATGGTGTCAGGGCCAGGGATTTAGCTCTGCGGCGCTGTTCCTGCCTTGAAAGTGCAAGGTCCTGAGTTTGAACCCTGGTACTGGGGGCGGGGAGTAGTGTCTGCCCAAGGTTGGGTAGGCAATTGCTGGACAGATATCCTTGCAGAAGTATTTTTGTGTAAGGTTGTGGTGGTGGCAGCGGCGGAGTCCTGTGTTATCAGGCAGGTATGCACATAACCTCCCAGCTTTATTTACTTATTTATTGCTAGGGTTTGACACAGGTGACCTCAGTTTGACTCAGACAACTTTCATACAGTTTAACAAAGTCTCGGCCGGGCGTGGTGGCCCACACCTGTAATCCCAGCACTCAGGAGGCCGAGGCAGGAGGATGGCTGTGAGTTCAAGACCAGCCTGGGCTACATAGTGAGTTCCAGGTCAGTCTCAACTACACAGTGAGACCCTGTCTCAAAAAAAATTAAAAAAACAAAAACAAAAACAAAGTCTCGTCAGCTGAACAGAGTCCATTCCTGTGCACATTTTTTTTTTCTTTTGAGACAGAGTCTTGCTACGTAGTTCAGGCCAGTCATCCTCCCTGCCTCAGCTTCCCGAGAGCTGGGATTACAGGCATGAGCCACCACCTGTGGCTCCCTGGGCATTTTTTGTGGCCAGAGGAAGGGTGAGGGTTGGGGAGTACTGACTTGCTTTAGTTTTGAAGCACCTCCCTCGAGAGCTCTTGGTGTCACTCATGTGTCTCAAACCCCACGGGCCGAGGGAAACCAAGGGGAAGGAGGCTGCTGGGCATAAACCTCAGTTGTCTCGTAGTAGGAGCCTGGCTCCGTGCTCCCAGACTGGTCCTGCTCCTGGGCCCAGGGCCCGGGGAAGCTGCCGAGAGCTGGCCTGGGGAGGCTTGGCTGGTTCCTCTCAGTGGCAGTCACAGAACCGCCCCCGTGTGCCTAGAGCAGGAAAGGTGCTCCTCTCGTCCCCATCAGGAGGGCAACCCAGCTCTCTGGTGTCTTCTCTGGAGCCATTTATGTTTCCTTGAGTTTTTATTCCCTGCAGTGCCAGAGCTGAAACCTCACGTCTGCCGGCTCCCGGGCAAGCACTTTACCACTGAGCCCCATCTCCAGCTTCCTGGTACCTTTCCGGACTCCCCGCAGGGTGAGGAGCACCGCGGGATCCTGGGCCTTTCCTGGATTGGCTCCCGCACAGAGGAAACTATGTACCCTGAGGATGATGGATTCCTACTTCTGGTGTGGCCCAGCATTAGAACCACAGACCCAGCCAGAACTCACCCGTCTCCCACAGGCCCCTCTGACTGAACATAGCAAATCCAAAGTCAGCCAAAACTCTGGGCCCCTCTCCTCCCTCCTATGGTCAGAGCCCCCTCTCCCTTACTGTGGCAGGGATCAGCCCCAGCTCCACCTCCTTATCTCTGTTGCCATTGCTATCGTGTTGGTTTGCTCTCTGTGACATGGATAAGCATCCCCCAGGGATTCCTGTATTGATATTTAATGCCCGTTTCCAGGCATGAAGAGGGTGGGGTCTTAAACCAACTATGAGAGTTAGAGGTGGGGCCTTTGGGAATTGATTCAAATTGATAAATTCATGTAATCCCAGCAGTTGGGAAGATGAGGCAGGAGTGTAACAGAGTATTACAGTGAAGGTTACAGCT